GCAAGCTAGCAGTCATCATCATGAATCAAGTCGACAATGGCAAATCCTTTTCAATCCTTGTCATATGAAGAGAAATTATGAAGAGAAATTATAGATAAAACGTATCGGTGCTTATCGGCCATTGGACATAAACATTACACAACAAGTTGGAAATCGCAAATTCAACAATGAGTGGTTTGGAAGGAATCAGTGGCTAATTGCAAGCATTACAAAGCAATCACTAGCCTGCTATTCAGTGGAGTGGATGTGTGGTCCAAGTCTGGGTTTAAGGGTCTCTTTTCCAAGCTTAAAATTATAAACATTCACATTGGCCATGCTGTCAATCCAGCATGACTTCTACCGCGTTCACAACAACTGGAAACTCGGAACTGGGAAATCTCAGACTTCAGTGAGTTCAAGACAACTGGGAACTCGGAAGAAAATGCGCTCCAACTGAGAAAATACGTTTTAAACGGTCATCCAACTTGGAATTCCAAGTCAGGAACTAGGGCCTCTTTCTAGAGCTCCGACCTGAAGATCACCAACGTCATGATTCGACCTTGTTTTTTTCAGAGTTCCCAGTTGTCTTGAAAGCGCCATAAATCCAGAGAATGCCCAAATTTTATGACAAAGTTTGATGACAAAATGTGCCCACGAAGGACCACCGCGCCACCTTCCTGTTCAAGTGAGCGCAGCACAACAAGGTGAGTCCAAAAATGTATTGTATGCTGCTGTATAAGTGATATGTCAGGGAGATATGTATACTGTAGCTAAGGAAATAATACTAAGTGTATGTTGTGTAGTAAGCTGTTAGTAGCCCATGTGCCTCACCCTAATAATTTGGTCCCTTTTCCCCTCATAATTTAGCTTACTGTTCTGACTTGGTGGTGCACATGTAGCCTATAGCCTGTTTTAGAGAAATGTCATCATCGAATATTGTAAGAGCTTTCATTGTCTGCTTATATGCCCCCTTTATTTATCCTACAGTTCTGACTTGGTGTACAGGGAGAACGCTGTAAGAACGGCCCATGTTCTGAATTCTGTCGCTGTACATTTAGAAAGTGCTGAACAAATAGTTATTGTCTACATCCATCCTAGCTCGCTCATGAATATCTTAATCGAAATTACGGATTGCCTCTTATCCGCTCTTCGTCCCCTTATGCCATAGATTGTACATCTCAATTGTCAGTAGAAACCATATTTGTTTAAGGAAGTCAGCCATATCAGCTATGTATTTTTTTTAAGGCAGTAAATGAGACTGAATGAACTGTTTCGCTGCCAGACAAGGCTCCGCTGATAGCCATGTGTAGCGGTGGTAAGGTGTTGGGACTGCTGTTTGGACTCTGCTGTTAGGACAGCTTTATGTAGACCCTAACAGTTTGTGGTCACCGTTTGTCACCGTTATAGTCCAATTAATGTATTGTTTAGTGTTGTGTAGTGTAGTGTAGTGGCTTTGCTGGCATGCATCCCACTTTTGTTGTTTGCCCCACCAAGATTTACATGCTAAAATCACCACTGATAGGAATAGTAGGCTACACTAAAAAAAATGTGAACAGACTTATCATTTTAACATGAATGAGTTACCAATGAGTGTGATAATCACTACAACTGTTTCAGCCAATTGATTGCACACACTCACAGACGTGGATGTGTGACATTGCACCAACAGATAGCCAACACACAATCCCACACTGATGGGTACAAACACTCATATTCCCTCCCTTCCTCCACCCTTCCCGTTTTGATACAATAGCTTGGTAACCAATAGCATTGCTGGCCTGCATTGAGGACTTCACGTCATGCTGGATACTAGAAACAGACTACAATATCAAACACTTAACAATTAGCACAATAACTACTTTTAAAGCACATCTTGTGGGCTTTTCGCGTTTTCAGTGATTTAATAGAATGCAAGATCTGAATTTCAGTATTGTCAACAGCAATTCAATAAAACTGTGAAGTTTGTTAAATTTCACATTTAGTTTGTGGACTTTTTCCAAGGATTGGACAGTTGGGATATGGACACTACCCACAGCGGATTGCCTTGAGAGATGCCGTAACTGTGCGAGCGCGGTCAAGTGCCGTCTGCATGAAAGAGAAACCCGTGGTGCGCGCTCTGTCAGCTGGCAATAACTACTAGAGTTCATTGGACACAACAAACTGGGTGGATGGATTCAGCTTCCATAACTCCAAACTTCCGAAGCATATTTTAGGACATTTTCACTCCTGTCTGAGTTGATGCGTGGGACTAGGACATCATCATGTCGCGCAGGAAACAATCAAAGCCTCAACATGTACAGTCGGATCATAATTTAGCTTTATCGGAACGTATGGGTAAGTTTGTGACGAAACTGTAGGCTAAATGATTATAAGGGAACATATGATGCAATTGAAAATTAAATGAAGATCATTTAATAGTTGTGTGCAATTATGTAATGGGTTTAGAGCAATTTTATCCTGACAGAAGTAGCATATTATTACTTTTTTCATTGTGTGATGATTGACAATGGAGGCTTCTTTTTTATCATGTAAAGTATTATTGTTAGGCTAATTGTCCATAGCCTACATTTCATTACTAATAATGCCTCATAACAGTCATCACAATTCAATTTTCATGTCAGACATGAAATATGTGTATCTGCCCCTTTTAATTGAACAGAAATAATGTAGTCTGAAAATACATTAGAGTTAATATTTTCTACTCAGTTGCTACTGAGTGGACTATCCCTGACTAAATAAATAATACATTTTTTATAGTCAATAATGAATTGCATTACATTTAGATTTAATGTATTAGTTTCTTTTCAAATTGCTGAAAAGGGTGGGCAGTGTGGCTTCTAAGCTACAGGACCAACAAATTATTTTTGATCACTGTCCTTGTGATACTCTTAACTGCAATACTATTGATAGAGGAAAACTGTTATTATTGGTAGCAGAGGTTTAGGCTATCCTAGAGTGGGTAGGGAACAAAATATCAGAGTTACTCCTCCATCCCCTTAGACAGGGGGCGTCTCTTGTGGCTCAGTAACCTACACCCTTGTGAGTGTAATCTCTCCTAAGCTTGTAGAGTTGGGTAAAGCCTTGAGCTCTGAGACTGAAGGGTACCCCTACATTAGTGATGGTAGGCTACTACTCTGTATTACATACAATTCATAGCAGAGGAGGCTGGTGGGAGGAGCTATAGGAGGACAGGCTCATTGTAATGGCTGGAATGAAATAAATTGAATGGTATCAAACACATAAAACATTTGACTCTGTTCCATTAATTCCATTCCATTCCAATGAGCTCGTCCTCCTATAGCTCCTCCCACCAGCCTCCTCTGGTTCATAGGGTATTCCCTGCATGCAATGTCACTACAAGGGTTACAAGTGGACCTTTTTCCATATACAGTATGTCAGTCAACCAGGGGGTGCTCTAACGAATATAGTAAATAAAGTCATGAATATACATTCTATATATATATATATATATATATATATATATATATATATATATATATATATATACAGTACCAGTCAAAAGTTTGGACACACCTACTCATTCAAGGGTTTTTCTTTATTTTTACTATTTTCTACATTGTAGAATAATAGTGAAGACATCAAAACTATGAAGTAACACATATGGAATCATGTAGTAACCAAAGAAGTGTTAAACAAATCAAAATATATTTTATATTTGAGGTTCTTCAAAGTAGCCACCCTTTGCCTTGATGACAGCTTTGCACACTCTTGGCATTCTCTCAACCAGCTTCATGAGGTAGTCACCTGGAATGCATTTCAATTAACAGGTGTGCCTTCCTTCTTAATGCATTTGAGCCAATCAGTTGTGTTGTGACAAGGTAGGGGTGGTATACAGAAGATAGCCCTATTTGGTAAAGACCAAGTCCATATTATGGCAAGAACAGCTCAAATAAGCAAAGAGAAACGACAGTCCATCATTACTTTAAGACATGAAGGTCAGTCAATCCGGAAAATTTCAAGAACTTTGAACGTTTCTTCAAGTGCAGTCGCAAAATCCATCAAGCGCAATAACTGGCTCTCATGACGACCGCCACAGGAAAGGAAGACCCAGAGTTACCTCTGCTGCAGAGGATAAGTTAATTAGTTAACTGCACCTCAGATTGCAGCCCAAATAAATGCTTCACAGAGTTCAAGTAACAGACACATCTCAACATCAACTGTTCAGAGGAGACTGCGTGAATCAGGCCTTCATGGTCGAATTGCTGCAAAGAAACCACTACTAAAGGACACCAATAATAAGAAGAGACTTGCTTTGAAGAACATCTCTGGAGAGACCTGAAGGGTGGCTGCTTTGAAGGGTGGCTACTTTGAAGAACATCTCTGGAGAGACCTGAAAATAGCTATGCAGCGACGCTCCCCATCCAACCTGACAGATCTTGACAGGATCTGCAGAGAGGAATGGGAGAAACTCCCCAAATACAGGTGTGCCAAGTTTATAGCGTCATACCCAAGACCCGAGGCTGTAATCGCTGCCAAAGGTCCTTCAACAAAGTACTAAATAAAGTACTTCCTTTAAGAGTGTGCTCCTAATCTCAGCTCGTTACCTGTATAAAAGACACCTGGGAGCCAGAAATCTTTTCTGATTGAGAGGGGGTCAAATACTTATTTCCCTCATTAAAATGCAAATCAATTTGTAACTGTTTTGACATGCATTTTTCTGGATTATTTTGTTTGTTATTCTGTCTCTCACTGTTCAAATAAACCTACCATTAAAATTATAGACTGATCATTTCTTTGTCAGTGGGCAAACGTACAAAATCAGCAGGGGATCAAATACTTTTTTCCCTCACTGTAGATTGATGAGGGAAAAAAACAATTTAATCAATTTTAAAATAAGGCTGTAATGTAACAAAATGTGGAAAAAGTCAAGGGGTCCAAATACTTTCCGAATGCACTGTATATATATAATCTTTGCTTCCTTTTCGTCTCTTTCAGGGGGTACACACCACAGTTTAGGGACTCCCCCCACCTTGGACTCTTGTACTCATGTCTGCAGCAGATGCTGTGCTGAGTTTGTTGAACTATCAGATCTGGAACTACATGTCAGAGATTGCTCTCCCAATCAGTTAGTCCTGATCGTCAATGATAATGAAGTTCCAGTGTCGTCTGCTGAAATGTTCCCTCTAGCCTCGTCGCCCAGTAAACCAGGGGAACCAGGCAAAACAGTCAACAACTCTGAAATGGAAGAGTTCAGTGATCTGTCGGAGGAGAAATCGGAGGTGAAGGAAGAATCCATGGATGTTTCCAGAAGTAAGAATAGCCACGGCTGGCTAGATAGCCCCAGTAGCACCAGTTGCAGCCGGAAAAGCAGTACTGACAGCATGACTGACATTGTTTCATGTACCTCAGTTCTCCCAATTTCACTAACTCAACCTGGCAACGACCTGTCGGAACAGCAGGGGACATTCTCATGGTTCAACAGCAATGTCATCATTGAAAACCTAGAGAGCACTAAAGTGGCCGTGGCCCAGTTTTCCCAGCAGAGCCGATCGGACACCGGCAGCAGTGGCAGCAGTAAGATGGCCGTCTCATCACTGATGGAGCAACTCCTGGCCTTGCAGCTGCACCAGATCCACCAGCTGCAGCTGATTGATCAGATTCGTCACCAGGTCTTATCGTTTGCCTCCCAGAGGTCTGAGGTATCAGAGACACTGACACCCATCAGCTGCCCTCAGGTTAGTCTAGCATCAACGCATGCCAGCCAGCTGACAACCCTCAGTTCCCATCTCTCCCAGCAGCTGGCTGCAGCCACTGGGTTAGCCCAGAGTCTCGGCAGCCAGTCTGCCAGCATTGGCCACTTTAAACAATTAACAGCAACAGTACAGTTACCACAGAGCACCCTAGGTAGGAGTATTGTGCACTCTAGCACTGAACCCTTACAAAGCATGGGTAAACTCATAGCTTCAGCAGTTAGCAAGCACCACTCTAGAAAGAAGTACACTCATGCTAGCGGTCTATACCCTCAACTAAATGTTTCAGCTCAAACCAAAAGGAACTCACCGGTACTTGGCTCAGGTAGCTCGCTAAACCCATCAAATAAACCACGTCTACCTCAGCCACCACCCAGCAATCAAACACTCTCTAGCGCTGAACCAAGCATTGGCACAATTGTGCAAGACCTGAATGCCTTGACGGCGTTAGCCAAACAAAGGAAAGGAAAACCACCCAATGTGACTTATTTCGAACCCAAAAGCTCTTCCGAAGAGGCTTTCTTTAAACACAAATGCAGGTTTTGTGCTAAGGTTTTTGGGAGTGACAGTGCCTTGCAGATCCATTTGCGATCCCACACTGGGGAGAGGCCATACAAGTGCAACATCTGCGGGATTCGTTTCTCCACCCGTGGGAACTTGAAGGTACACTTCCAGCGGCACAAAGAGAGGTTCACCCATATCCAAATGAACCCTTACCCTGTTCCAGAACACCTGGACAATATCCCAACCAGCACAGGAATCCCATATGGCATGTCTATGCCACCAGAGAAACCAGTTACATGCTGGGTGGATAGTAAACCATCCCTAGCCACCTTGACTACTTCTGTAGGCCTGTTGCTCCAAACTGGATCACCCAACTTACCCTTTCTCATCAAGAAAGAGGAGCAGCCTGTCTCAATAACTGCGTATTCCAGTCCAGGTATACGTGAATCATCTAGTGAAGTAAAGTCTACCAAGAGCATAGACTTGGTAGAGGCTGGAAAAGTCCCAACCTTCCCCACCATGAATCTGAAAACAGATGACGTTAAACCTCCTTTGACCTTTGTTTCGAAGATGAGCTCCACAACCGAAATATCCGCCGACGTCGCTTCCATCAGCACAAATCCCATCAAGTTGGAGCAGTTCAAGACCAAACATCCCTTCAGAGGAGGATCAATTGATCCCCTGCAGACATCAGAGACCTTGAAACTCCAGCAGCTGGTTGAGAACATTGACAAGAAGGTGACTGACCCCAACGAGTGCGTCATTTGCAACCGCATACTTAGTTGTCAGAGCGCCCTCAAGATGCACTACCGCACCCACACAGGAGAGCGGCCCTTCAGATGTAAAGTGTGCGGACGGGCGTTCTCCACCAAAGGGAACCTGAAGACGCACCATGCGGTTCATCGCACCATGCCGCCACTGTGGGTCTACCACTCCTGTCCTATCTGCCAGAGGAAGTTCACTAACGCTGTTGTCCTACAGCAGCACATCCGTATGCATATGGGTGGTCAGATTCCCAACACCCCTCTCTCTGAACAGAACTACCCAAAGTCAATAGAGTCTGGCGGAGGTTCAATTGATGATAGGAAATTAGAAGAGTTGGAGAACCCTTCTGATGATGATATGGACTTCAATGACAGTGGGATCGCAGGCATGTCCAGGTTTAATAACGCCTCATCCGGCAGCTTGTCTCCCGCTCCTTCTGATAGTACAGGAGCAGGCTCCTCTGATGCCCAGATGACAAGAAACTATCATAGGCAAGTGGAGGAGAAGCAGGTCAACTGGTTTAAGACAAAGGGACTGGCTAAAGAGGATCAGCAGGTCTATGACTCATCATCTCTTAGAGGTGACCGAAGTGGTGGGAGCCTTGCTGTTTCTGAGAATACAGTTGACAAGCAGTCTCTGTCCCCAAGCAAGAGTGTTCCAGTTCGTTCTAGCCCCACAAGCTTTGAGGAATTGTACCAGAAAGCTTTATCCCAGGCACATATCAATCCAAGCCTTCTGCAGTTCACTGGCACTAGTCCACTGGCGTCCCTTGACCACCTAAAATCTTTAAACCCACTGAAGGATCCCACTAACATGGTCTACTCTTTCTGTGAACAACTAGGCATCTTCAAGAACAATGATTGCGATATTTGCGGTAAGAACTTTGCCTGCCAAAGTGCCTTGGACATCCATTATCGAAGCCATACCAGGGAGAGACCATTTATTTGTACAGCGTGCAACAGAGGGTTTTCCACCAAGGGGAACCTCAAGCAGCATATGCTAACCCATCAGATGAGGGACCTGCCATCCCAGTTGTTTGAGCCCTTCACTCCCAGCCTTGCCTCCAGCCCCAACAACTCCATACATCCTCTGGGGTCCCAAATGATCAAGACAGAAGTGAACAGTTTCCTGGGTAGTGCCCGCTATGGGGAACCAAGGGATCTTCTAGGCATTTTGAGTTTGAGGACGTCCTCTGCCTCTTCCTCCCCAGCACTCGTCATCCCGCCACCTCGACGGACTCCCAAGCAGCATTACTGCCACTCTTGTGGGAAAACCTTCTCTTCCTCTAGTGCCCTGCAAATCCACGAGAGGACTCACACCGGGGAGAAGCCGTTCGCCTGCACTGTCTGTGGTCGGGCATTCACCACCAAAGGAAATCTGAAGGTACGTTCCTCTTTTACATTTATGAGATAGGGTTTAGAGAGATTGTCAAGAAACAAAATGTGAAAACTGTCATGCGAAGTTCTGCCTTGTTTTTTTCATTTTTTCATTTATTAATTCAGTATATCTAATCTCGAAACCCAGAACGGAAATCTTGCGCCAGTTACTCGATTATGTGCTGGCGGGAGATATATGAGAAAAGATACTAGAAAGAGAAGCGGAACAGGGTGGTAGCCCCCCTCGCTCTGCAAGTTTTGGTCAAGTCAATGGGCCAAATATCCCCTCCTCTTCCGAATTTCGAAAGATGCTCACACCTGCTAAATCTTGATTTTTTCCAACTAACCAGTGACGAAAAACCAGTGCACCGGAACAACTGTTGCTTGTTATTCTTCTGACAGACGTTACGATACCATTTATGTTACGTAGTCTGTCCACGAGAAATGTAGTATACCTAACCATTTGTCTTCATAAAAGGAGTGTAACTCACCATTGCTCTCTTCCCCATGTAGGTCCATATGGGAACTCACATGTGGAGTAGCGCCCCCACCAGGCGAGGACGCAGGCTGTCTGTGGACGGACCATTGATGTTTATGGGAACTCATCCTGTGAAGCTACAAGAGCCTCCTCAGAGGCCAGACATTAGGTCCAGTAATGGAGACTCCTTTTGTTTCTGGAACCACTGTACAGACTCCTTCTCTAAGAACTTGGCCATGAGGAATAAAGATATCTCAGTCGGAGGCGGGTCTTACCTCTCTGGACCAATGGAGCATGGGGCCAGCTCACCCATAGGGGGCGTAAATGTTGGTCTGGACAAATTGCACCATACAGAACACAATGCTGCTCTCGAGCTGCCTGGTAAAAATGATACCAAAAGAGCGACTCACTTCTGTTTCCCTCATTTGATAGAAGAGAGGATGGAAATGATTGCAAATTAACGAGACTGAATATTATCTTAGGAGGAAATGAACTGCGATGTTGGAATAGACAGAGTTTCTAGGAGTTTGTATATAAATGATAATAACCTTATTTGGAGTCAAGTGGCTAGTAAAGTCTCCCTACTTTTCAGTGTGCTTATTAGAGTTTTACTATTTTTTATAACCTATTTACATGGGTAGAGTAGCCTAGTGGAAATTACTAACTTTAGAAGCCTTTTAAAACCTTGAATACTCTACAAGTTTGCATTTCCTGTTGTGCAGGAAAATTCTCAGCAACAAAAGAGTGATCAAATTAAAATCCTATATCTGTTTTTATTTTTATTTTGAGGTGTTGATGTTATTGAAGAGGAATTCACTTGTAACATACAGTATCTTGTCATATCTTTGTAAAATACATGGATAGATCATTTATGTGTGTCAACATCAATGTTCTACTGTAATTCGTGTTAATTTGATATTTCTCACAACAACAACATATGAATAGTATGTAATAATGATGTTCCATACAAAATAAGGAGACAACATACATTGTACATGTACTGTAGGTCAACTGTAAATAGAAGTACTATTACTTAAGGTGCTGTAATACATTGTAAATCACTTTGCCATTGGTTTTCAGAAAATTAGTGGTCATTATAGAACAACATTATTTCACCACTTCTGTACCTCAGTGGTTGTAGAATCCTATACTATGATATGCTGTGGACGCATTTCTCTTTTTCCCTGTTCAGTAACAATTGATATACAGATTAACAGTAATGGTGCACCTCAAAATAACATTAAAAGATTGAGATGAGATATAGCTTTGAATTATCGTCCATCTAGATGCCCTGTTTCTGTCCTGAGGTGTTTAGTCACCACATTCAGGTGTGTGTGTGTGCTGATGCCCTCTGCTGAAGATACTCTGTGTTAATTTGATATGACATATCACTTTCCAGGTAACAGCTGATGCAGACATGCTACCCTAAAGCAGATGAATTTTCAAAGTGACTTGTTGTCTTTCCTGTTGTGTACTACACCGTGTCACTGTTAAAATGGAGACGATGCGATGTGTCAGTCACTCGGGATCACCTAGGGATATTATTTGTGGTTATCTTGACAGCTGGACTCAACATTGTCATGCTATGCTATTGCTATCATATTGTCAATTTGTCAGTGTTTCAACATGACCAACGACCATATTTTGGCTTTGGTTTTTCAAACATTGCTGCAAGTTTCATTTCACATTTTGAATAAATTCTGAAACTTTTTCTGTTTGAATATTTTCACGTTGAAACAATAACTCACCAAATGAACATTTGAGCCAGGACTGTTGTCTCCTTTTTCTACACTAGGGAGTAAACCTGATAGAAAATGCACCACCAGTCTGACTTCCTGCTGGTTGTGAAACACTACCCTATTGAGTCATCTATGTAGCCTGTATGGCTGTAGCAGGATCCCAGTGAAAGCTTAACGAAATACACAACACCTCTGACTAATAATGGCCACATATCAAATCTCCTGTGAAAGAGACAGGGTCCCTGTGCCACTGTCACAACCTATTACACATATGTCACAGTCCCACTGACCAGCTGACAGGGCTGAAACCTTAAACCAGCCCTCCGTCATTAGCATTAGAACATGAGTAATCAACTGGAATGAACCATCGCAGAGCCCTAAACAAAGACCAGTTGGTCCGAAGCTTTTCAAAGTTACATATCTGATAGAGAAAGAGATGAATCAGTCACACACACACACGCACGCAAACACGCAAGCAAACACGCAGAACACATACAGAATAATATTTTCTATTTCTGAAAAATGTGATACTTGCAAGCTGAAAGGTTTTGAACAATATGTATTGATTGTCAGACTGAGTTTGCCCTTGACTTGCCAATAAATATCAGATAGTCCCAACAAATAAAGTCCCAACAGTTGGTTAACTAATTCACATTTGATAATCTTTTGAATGTGAGTCTGACACCGCAGAACATACAGTGGGGAAAAAAAGTATTTAGTCAGCCACCAATTGTGCAAGTTCTCCCACTTAAAAAGATGAGAGAGGCCTGTAATTTTCATCATAGGTACACGTCAACTATGACAGACAAAATGAGGAAAAATAATCCAGAAAATCATATTGTAGGATTTTTAATGAATTTATTTGCAAATTATGGTGGAAAATAAGTATTTGGTCAATAACAAAAGTTTCTCAATACTTTGTTATATACCCTTTGTTGGCAATGACACAGGTCAAACGTTTTCTGTAAGTCTTCACAAGGTTTTCACACACTGTTGCTGGTATTTTGGCCCATTCCTCCATGCAGATCTCCTCTAGAGCAGTGATGTTTTGGGGCTGTCGCTGGGCAACACGGACTTTCAACTCCCTCCAAATATTTTCTATGGGGTTGAGATCTGGAGACTGGCTAGGCCACTCCAGGACCTTGAAATGCTTCTTACGAAGCCACTCCTTCGTTGCCCGGGCGGTGTGTTTGGGATCATTGTCATGCTGAAAGACCCAGCCACGTTTCATCTTCAATGCCCTTGCTGATGGAAGGAGGTTTTCACACAAAATCTCACGATACATGGCCCCATTCATTCTTTCCTTTACACGGATCAGTCGTCCTGGTCCCTTTGCAGAAAAACAGCCCCAAAGCATGATGTTTCCACCCCCATGCTTCACAGTAGGTATGGTGTTCTTTGGATGCAACTCAGCATTCTTTGTCCTCCAAACACGACGAGTTGAGTTTTTACCAAAAAGTTATATTTTGGTTTCATCTGACCATATGACATTCTCCCAATCCTCTTCTGGATCATCCAAATGCACTCTAGCAAACTTCAGACGGGCCTGGACATGTACTGGCTTAAGCAGGGGGACACGTCTGGCACTGCAGGATTTGAGTCCCTGGCGGCGTAGTGTGTTACTGATGGTAGGCTTTGTTACTTTGGTCCCAGCTCTCTGCAGGTCATTCACTAGGTCCCCCCGTGTGGTTCTGGGATTTTTGCTCACCCTTCTTGTGATCATTTTGACCCCACGGGGTGAGATCTTGCGTGGAGCCCCAGATCGAGGGAGATTATCAGTGGTCTTGTATGTCTTCCATTTCCTAATAATTGCTCCCACAGTTGATTTCTTCAAACCAAGCTGCTTACCTATTGCAGATTCAGTCTTCCCAGCCTGGTGCAGGTCTACAATTTTGTTTCTGGTGTCCTTCTTGGTCTTGGCCATAGTGGAGTTTGGAGTGTGACTGTTTGAGGTTGCGGACAGGTGTCTTTTATACTGATAACAAGTTGAAACAGGTGCCATTAATACAGGTAACAAGTGGAGGACAGAGGAGCCTCTTAAAGAAGAAGTTACAGGTCTGTGAGAGCCAGAAATCTTGCTTGTTTGTAGGTGCCCAAATACTTATTTTCCACCATAATTTGCAAATAAATTCATAAAAAATCCTACAATGTGATTTTCTGGATTTTTTCCCCTCAATTTGTCTGTCATAGTTGACGTGTACCTATGATGAAAATTACAGGCCTCTCTCATCTTTTTAAGTGGGAGAACTTGCACAATTGGTGGCTGACTAAATACTTTTTTCCCCCACTGTATCTCTGGTGATATCAATCTTACAAATGAATGGTTTGTGTGGGTGTGAGTGAGTGTTTGGGCTTCACAGTGGAATAAAGTCCTTGGTGTTGATTCGTTCCACAATAGAACCATAGAATACTCTGGACTGGAGTGTCACAGAATACATTCCAAAATGATTATACCTCTGTCCAGGTTTCCAGTGAATTATTGAAATATGTACAGTGTTTTTCAGAATACATTGTAGAGAAACAGACAGAGGAGTAAGGGAGGGGGATTGAGAGGCGACACACAATGAAACCCAACAGCTTACTTTTTAAACACATCGCAGGCAAACAAACATGCCTTTCTAATCATTGCATATTTCACTTCAAAACTGCGGAGGTCAGCATGCTATTTGCAAGATGGCATTTCCTTTGTAAGCATTTGAACAGTGATCATCACACTTTTGTTACAGTGACAATGGAAATATTCAATAACAGAATACCTGCCAAATCTCCGGCGGGGTGACAATCTACCCCCCCTCCCCGAACCAGAGCGTTGATAACATTGTGCTTATGCTTTTGTGTCTATCTGACGTGCCTATTGCACAGATAATTTCAGATCATAAACTTGCATGGGATCAACTGTTTCATGGCGACCTGCCGGCCTACCGGCTCTGTTTGTGCCTGTGTTTTTAGAGAGAGGTTGGCAGCAGGCAGCTTTAGCCTGGTCCGTATTTGTCAACCTTCTGATAGCTCAATGCTCATAGCTGGCTTAGTGTTGTCTCCTAGGACTGTATAGCCTCTCAATTTCAACTTGACAAGAATTGCCTTATTATCTGAATAGAGTTATAGGCCCCACTTCAAATTAACTGCAACTCATGAATGCCATCTTCATAGGCATTAAGGGTCTATGAAGGTTTATGAAGGCTTCATTAAGCCTTAAAAGTAGTACTTCGTTGAAAGGGGCGGCAGGTATCTTAGTGGGTAAGAGCGTTGTGCCAGTAACCGAAAGGTCGCTGGTTCTAATCCCCGAGCCGACTAGGTGAAAAATCTGTCGATGTGCCCTTGAGCAAGGCACTTAACCCTAATTGCTTCTGTAAGTCGCTCTGGATAAGAGCGTCTGCTAAATGACTAAAATGTAATGTAAAATGAAAGTATGACTAGAAGTGTAATTTCATACTAATAGTAAAATGAGTTGGTAGGCTACTTTTTTGTAAATGTTTTCTACTAGCTGCAATTTGCATTTGTCCACAAATCACCTCATGTATGAAATCTTTAATGAATGAAGCTGCATGTATGAAATCTTTAATGAATGAAGCTGTATGTATGAAATCTTTAATGAATGAAGCTGTTCTTCCATCCAGACATTTTTCTTCTCATCTATTAGTAAATGCTAGTAAACGCCTCATAACCGACACTTAACGTTAACAATCTTTCAAGTCTGCTTGATTTTATACAGGTATGTA